TCTTGGATCTGGCAGTCTTCTGAATAGTCAGTGAATCCAGAGAGAAGAAATCAGACTTATGATCCGGAGCAGTCCGTCAGTAGTTATCCGGGTTCGTGAGATGCTATGAAGTGGCAAAGTGACCTGCCTGTCTCACTTTCTCCGACGTTTGAGACACCGAAGAAAGGAAACAGACGTCAAGATGTCAGAGTATCAAGACCTGAAAGCTGAAAATTAGTCTGATTCTCCTTATCCGCTCCGGTCTTCATACGACGGGTTTGGTCGGAGTGCGAGTGCTTCGTACCGTGGGAGCAAGGGTACCATTTCCGAGACGATGATGATGTGATCACCGATGAACTGCATGCAGCAATCAATCCCCAACATGAAGTCCTGTCAGTCTCATCACAAATATTTTCTGACTCATACTGACACTGACACCTCGAGCATCCCCGGGAATAAGCTGTGATAACATATCAAGTAACGACGTCGTGTGATAAGGCAACTCTGGGGTACATTTCGTCGCACGAACTTCAAGCCAGAAGCAAACATCTTCCGCACCAACTAGATTCCAGAATGCCCTTGGAATATTCCATCGGCACATGAAAACTGGTTGAATTCCATGGTAAGCCCGGTATTTGAAACAGGAGGCTTTGCAATGGAGGGTAACGCTCGTGGTAGCTGGGATAAACACGCAATCCTAAAGAGCCACTCTCGCACCTGTGGCTCGTTGCCACGACCATCACATGTGGCTCCCATATGGGAGTCTGGAAGATGGACTCCCAAAGCTCGCGTGTTGTTACATTTATGCGCCCCCTTGTCTGGGTTTCTTTGCTCTCACTGGTGGTGTGTTCTGAAAGGGTCTGCGGGTGCAGGGCCGGTAAGCATGCGGACGCCACGTGCTTTGCCATCCTCCGGAAGAACAGGAAGGAATTGCGACCCACGGGTTTGACAATGGCGGCCAATTATTGAAGCCTGGTACCAGAATCATACCATCTCATGTCTATGGCAAGGCGACTGCCAGCAAGATGTGGTGATTGGCACCCTAGAACGACATCATGAATGGCCGAGTGAGCGAGATTAGTATGTGTCATCCTTGAGGCCGGAGGCACGCGGTGGTAGCCCATAACGAAGACACTATGGATAAGATGTTCACCTCTCATGATCATATAAGACCATTGATACTCCACTCACAAACATGAAGAAACCCTCACCAAGCAACTCAACCCGGAAGCCCACAGATCAAACGCTCGCTTCTGACCCCTCAATCTCGATTTGAGAGCTTCAGCACTCCATTCTCATTACCATAAAATCCCTGGCTGATTATTGCCTTGCATATGCAGGCCGTTTGTCCTCATTGACTCGGCCAGGCAAAAATATCTATTTATTGTCTGAGTCGGCCGCCGGCCTCATCGCAACCGCTCACCCTGGTTCGCCGAGAGTTCGCCATAATCACACCAGGAAGCCCAATCAAACAGCTCTAAGCAATTTTCTCCTGGGCCCACCACTTTGTGTCACCTCGATATCCGATCACGAACTTCATTATTCGGGACGGACCGCTGATCGCTCGATACTGCCTAATCCAGGACGAGGTGTCTGAAAGTACCGAACACAAAAGCAACTCAACCAGTCGATTGATTCGAAACATACACATCGATACGTAGATATCAGGCCACAAGTGCGCAAGTCGCAAGACATAACAATGTGTACCTACTCTTACCTTCACCATCATCATGTCCAGCCCTGCGCTCGGCCGATCGATTATGTCGTGCATTACGAGTTCTGCCGGGATGCCGGCGTGGACTCTGACGGCAGAACTCGACTTCCGTGCGAGAGAGTCTTCTACGATCCAGTTCAGTCGATCGACTTCGACAACCCGTGCGCTACGGGAGGATGTCTCATCTCACCTGACTGCAGCTCCGGCAACTGCCGTCTTCAGGAACTCAATGGGCACTGGATATGCTGCCAATGCAGCCGCGGCAGCAACTCCCTCCGATGGTGTCGGCACAAGATGAAGAAAAGTCCAGACACTTTCTGTTACCACCGAGTTTGTCAGAACTGCACTCCGGACTCCGCCACATGAAAGCAGCCTTCGGCTAAAATCACGGCACAAATCTGGAGGCTTTCAAAGCCATCTCGGTTCATAAGCAATGACAAACTGACGAGGAAGGAATACACGAAAAGCCCAGCAAAGATGGGCCACAAGTCTGTCAGAATTGCAAGATTACAAGAGCTTGCAGGACAGAAGAAGTTTGGGTCCCGGAGTCTAGACAGCGCCACATGCCGACTGATGCTAGTCACCAGCTGTCATATCCAAGTGCTCGGTATCTGATGTGGACCTACCTTTTAGGGTTAGCGGAGTCTAGACATACGAGCCGCACTCCGAGAGCTGAAAGTATGTGGTACAAAGATCGCAAGGGGGCCAGTCACAGTGAAGGTCGGGGCTTTCGCGACGTGGATCAATAGCTACAAGGGACGCCTCCGAAAGCCGGCTACAACAGTAGGCAGTCATCAACAGTCCACCATTGGCGCGAGGCTGAACAGGGAATTCGGGGTGGCTTGGGAGCCTTCATACTTCGTTGTGCAAGATAGACCAATCATTATTATTTCCTTGCAGTTGCATGTTTCATACACATGGTTCGCATGCTTGCCTTGCCTGGAATCATTTGCGATATACTGATATTCTTCCACCGGTGACGGACCCGGTTCCGGACTTCAGGGTCATTCGCACAAGCTATTAGTGGCCACTGACAAATATCAGAAACCTGGCTGCCACGTTTTCCTTCAATAACCCTCAGACTATTTGCTCTTTTGGATGCATCTTGCGAGTCATTCCTCGTCAGTTTGGCGACGGAACACGACGGGCTCTCGGATAGATCTCATCTAGATGGAGGGTTACTGATCGACAGGGGAATAGTTGAGATCGTGGCCGCCTCCACGTCATCCAATACTCGAAAACTCGGGATAGAGGAGAAATTATCGGCGAACCATCCTACGTTCACAGCGTAGGCAGCGACTATAAAGATCAAGATGAGATGCATCGTACTTCGTAAAGGTAAAGAGCAGGAGATCAGATAGTCATCAGCTTTCCCTCGTTGCATGAGCACTCATCAAACTTCCTTCAAATACTGCTTATGCACCCCTGAGATCTCAAAGTCTCTCCAAAAGTCGTAATCTTCATCTCATAAACTTCTCAAAAACCCCGAAAACTCCGAAACAAGACAATATGTGCAACATCACCTCCTACAAGCTTCCGTGCGAGCACGTCAAGTCCCAGACCAACTACTGCTCCAAAGCACCCTCTGCCTCGAAGAAGAGCTCATCGAACCGCAAGACCTGCAGAGACGTCACTCAGCACAACATCCCTTACCCTCCTCCTCCTGGATATGACCAGCGGCCGCTGCCCAAATGCCCCCTCGAGAGCTGCCCCTACGAGATGCGAAATCGCTGCTGGAACTGCTGCTGGTGTGGCAAGGGTTGGAACGACGGGGGTCGCTGCAGCTGCGTCATGATCATTGACGGAAATGAGTATCGCTGCGAGCACATCTGCTGCAACACTTGCACGGCTGCCCTGGACGGATAAAGGAAAGCAGTCTTCTGAGTCCAGGATATCAGGTAATCGATTCAGTGAGCATGGAGACTATTGGATGGTATGTCGTTTCTTACTGCTCAAGTAATGTTGTAACTATTGTTTGATTTCAAGGAGTTCCCTTCACAATGGAGTGGAATGGGGCCTGAGTGCGCATAAGGAACTTTGGCAGCTCTCGATAGATAACGAAATCTTAAGCCCTGCTGAAGAGACATCTTCATGGAGAGTTTGACGATCATCAGACGATTCCAGTGGCAATCATACATAGAAACCAAGACTTATTCTTCTAACCCGTTTACATTCATGAATAACCCTGATATTCGGCCGAGTGATGAGTGATCTACGGATCTGCCTAAAAGGCTGTCAGGATTACTGATTAATGAGATCCGTCATTGCCGGTACTCGCACAAAACGCCTGAAGCTACTGCAATGCGAGATCGGGTGCTTCTCAGATACCCAAGTGGAAGGAACCTTTGATAAGCCTCCAGATCCTGCACTCTTGCATCTCGATCCAGCCACATCGTCCCCAACACCCGTGCGTAGTGCTGCTTTTGTCCACTCAGATGCCATACCAGCCGATTAGCAAACCATAGTCCCGGGCTCCATCTCAGCCCCATGGTCTCACAATTATCGTGAGACCCCACCAACAAGGTGAATACGAGACACTTTGCTCACCATATCGAGAGTAAGATCTCCATTACCCAAGGCACCGGGAGACCGGCATTGATTTCCACTGATCGCTGACTCGTGGAGTAATTCCCACTCATCGAAAGGAGAGTAAGCTGTGTGACCGAGGAAGGCTTGACGAGATCGCCGTGATTCAATACTTGTGGATCGGTGTAACCCCAGCTGCAGGTAGCCGTCGGGAACTTCACCCAGATTTGTCTACGGTGTCCTCGATGTCTTTGAGCGACGTCGCGTAAGAATCCCATTGGACACTGTATACAAGGCTTCTTCCTGCTTGGTAGCTGTACAACACCTTGTTCACACCACCATATCCACCAATATCGAGTTCCGAGACATTGGGTCCTGATAGAGTAAACTTTGGCCATCTCCACTGCAGGGTAGCACAATCCTTACTGTCGGTGAAGCAGCCATGATGAAAGATGCGATGCGAAAACGTGACCACGTTCGAGATGGTTGGCGAGAAGTAAATGTGTGTCAGAGGTGATGGGAAAAGCAACCAAGTGAGGCGTCCACCGGCAGACCAAGTGGAATAGTGATCATTTCGAGTGCTCTTGGCTCTGAGAAAACAAGACCTTACCACTAAATGCTTGAAAATAGATCACGCAGAGTATATAAGATGCAGCAGGTGGCATGCAGTGATATGATGTGGTCTTGTCTTTTACAGCATTATCAGTCGCTGTACATCTTCACTCAAGATCTCCCGTCCCTCAGGCCAATTCATTTTTCTTCAGTAACCAAGTAGTCCAAAATGTGTCACGGTCATCCTCGCTGGCATCCTTGCTCCCACACCTCTATCAATTGGCACTATTGCCCCTCGGCTCTCATCGATCTCGAGACCGGCGTGGAGACTCCCTGCACCCACCTGAGTTATGCAACCGCCCAGCCCAGCAATGCCGATTGCCCCCTCCTCAACTGTCAGTATAAGGCCATGGGTGGAACCTGGACTTGTTGCCAGTGTGGTCAGGGACCCAACACACAGGGCTGGTGTACCATGCCGAAGCCAGTGCAAGACTCGAACGGCATGTCGACGGAGGAGACCAAGACATGTGATCACGGATGTTGCGCTGAATGTGCACGTTACCGTAAGAAATCCTCCGCGTTTTCCCGCCGGTCGGCCGAGTAGCTAACCGCTCACCCCCAGTCCCAACTCGTGCAACAACCCCTGACATGACGTTCAGCGAGCTTCGCAAGGGGACCGCCAGTCGCAAGTTTGGGTACACCTCCGCTACCCGCTCTCACCGTCGAGGCTCGGCTTTGTCCAAGATCAACGGGCTTCTTCCAGTGGAAGAGGACGCAGAAGCATTTTCAACGTCGACTTCCGGCTCCTCGTCACAGAGCAGCGTCTCTTACAAGTCGTCTGCCGGCAGCAGCACTTCGTATGGCTCATCTACATCGTCATCATCGTCAGGCCGAGGCTCAAACTACAGAGTCGACTTGGAGTATAACGCAAAGAGGCATAAGTCCTCATCTGGGAAAAGTAGCAAAAAAAGCCACTCACTGAAGGCGCGATAATCTCATGTACTACGGCAAGGTTTGCTGGCTTTACGATGACAGTTGATGTAGGCATAATCTAGGGATCTTTTGTATAATATGTTTAGAACTATTGACTTGCATTGAAATGAATTCGGGTGAAATTCTTGGAGTTTGTATTCAGAAACTTAGTATGCGATTATTTAAAGGCGAAAAATGAAAGGTTTATGCAATGCGAAAGGGTAAAACGATGTATTGTTGCCTACAGGATTGAATGGTAATAACCGAACAAGAGGTGACCTAAACAGGATGCCAACCCAGCCACAGTCTCAGCATAAAAGCTGTCTCCAAAGTACCTCATGGTAGTGTGGAGAGCACCACATTTCTCTCTAATGAATCAACGCCATGGGTACATCGACCACTCAATGTTTCCCCTCATCCTCCACATGAGTTCGTCAATTCGTGGATAGCATGACATGTCAAACTCGGCTCTACAAGCTTCTTCTGGCCAGCTTGGATCAGGTGCGGCAATCCTCTTCCAGCGATGGCATCTCTGGTGGCGTCCCCGGTGTCCACGGCGAGGTCGCGGACGTACCTTTGCGACGGACCGAGACGTGTTGGAAGGGTACCCAGTTTTCAACAAACATCTGCGAAGCCCAGTAGAGGGGATGAATGTCAAGCTCAAGTCCACCCGAGCCTTGGAAATCTGATAGATGTGTTAGCGAAGACTTATGACAAAGTTGGACCATTTTAGATTTAAGGTTACCATTTTCATCAAAAAGTTCGTTTGTAAACTTCTGCTTCAGGTCAACCCAAGTCTTTTTGACAAGAAACTTCTGACTTCCGGAGACGTCCGACAGAAAGCCTTTGTTCATGTCGTCGCCATAGAAGTTGTCTCCTGCCACCGAAGCATTGGGCTTCCTCCTGTAGTAGTGCCAATGCAACAACAGAATCTCTGCGTTGTGACACATTTTGGTGGCAAAAGGGTCTGTTGTTTGAGGCAACATCGGCTCTTTCTGTGAATGTATGTCAGTATGAAGGAATGCTCACGAACAATGCAAATCAATTTACTATGATGCCGGTGAAAACCTCCCTTCCATCCTTCCAATGGCCAATGGTCAATGAGACTTCATGGAGAAGCAGGAAGGTAACCACATAGACTGTGAAGAACGGCTGGAATTTCGCTCTGCTGTAGAGCTGCTCGAGATTATGGAGCACTTTCTCGGTAAGTGTGTCCACAAATTTCGTACAAACAATCGCGTAAAGCTGGGCCACAATCATTCGAGGTGTTGGGATTCGGTGAAGAAGAGGATGCTTCTCGTCCTTGACTCTGTAGACTCCGAGGCACTTGTGGCTTCCAGTAGACTCATCATACACCCAAGAAGGACTCATGCAGTGATCTGCCATTTGGGAATCAGCTTGGAGGCGTTTTCATCTCGGTGTAGAGACTTTGTTGTTCGAAACACTTACGGAGTGCCATTCTGAGCTTGAAAAAGTCTTTGAGGACTTGTCTTTCCTTGTTATCCTCATCGAAGTCGTCACAAAGCTTGTCGTAATGCATCAGGGCTTCCAAATAGTGTTCCCTAATAATGGGATGAGTGCCTTCCTTGTCGATCTGCTCCTTCAAGCTGGTAATGAAGTTTTCATCCAAGTATGCTTGAAAGGAGCGCCTCGTATCCCTCACATTGGCCAAGGCGTATGGCGGGAGATGCATGTGCTCTTTATCTCCCGATCTAGTCCTGATCGAATAGTTGAGTCTGTCATATCGCTCCTGAGAGAAAAGTCGCACTCGAATATTGAGGGGATGACGGCACAATCCTCTAGTCATAAGCTGAACCGTTTCAACCTTGTTGGACATCCACTCGTCATCAGTGAGGTCGTGCTCTGCGAGGCTCTGAAACTTTCGTTCTGTGATGCCTAGATTGCATGGCAAGGAAAGTTGGATCTCGCCCATCTTGGCCCGACAGCAGAGATTCCTGTGGACGACTTTGGGCGACTTTCTGTTGAGCTTTGTACAGGTGAGACAGGGACCCTCAGGATGCTCCGGGTTAGGTTCACACTATGGATGAATGGGTTAGCTTCTGCTGGACAACTTGTAAACTTCGACCAAAACATACCGTCAAATGCTGCATCCTGCAACGAATACATGCCCCCAACTTCCTCGTCGATGCCGCATCCAGTCGCTTTTTCTGCGTCAAGGGGCCGCCCCGACAGGGAACCTTGCCGAGCCCTTCCTCCGCCTCCAGGTCCACCAAATGTCTCTTCGCAGGAACGGCTGAAGGGGGAGGCATCAACTGGGAGTCAACGCTTGCTGGGAGGTGAGTTTTCAGCCTGGGTTGATGTGCCGTCTTTGACGCAAAGTAAGACGAAGGCCGACCAAGCTCCGGGTCAACAGGGATCGTAGATTGTGTATCTCCTGGGAGTTCTTGTTCAAGTAACGGCGATTTCGATGCTTCGCTGGGAATTGAATCTCCATGTGAAGGGTAGCTAAAAGATTCAGGAGGAGATCCTTGTGAAGATTGCGAGCTTGTCTCGCTTTCTGGCGGCGAGCGGTACGAATATGCCCCATTTGGATGGATGTCTGCAGAGTAATGGACGGCTGAATGCCCAAAACCCGAAAACTGCATGCGTGTATCACTGCCCTGGAACCTCGTAGACGTGTTCGCATGCGGCTGTAGAGTCTGCTTCTCCGAGGGCGCAGAATCACAATGCTGCAGAGAGATGTACATAGGGGACTGAAAAGCATTGGGGGCATTGATGTGGTGCGAAGGAGCGAACATGCCATCAACATCCTGCGCCCAAGAGTACTGTGCAGTCATAGGTTGCGGATCCATGTTGATGCCAGATCCGAGCATGTTTATACCGCCGAAACAATGCATTACTGGCGTCGTAACTCCGTTGCGAGGAGACTGAGCCATTCGATTTGCTGTCATGGGGAACAACGAAGGAAAATGCTCTGCTCCTTGCGACGCCGGGTTGCCGACATGCTCCGGCAAGCTTGTGCTCGACAAATACGAGCTTCCCGGGTGCTGAAGCTGTGTGTTAGCAATCTCTCTCGCTTTCTGTCATAGGTGTTCCTGTGGAACATGCCGGCATCAACTTACCAGCCTGTCTGGCTCTTCTCCCCTAGGCCACAACGGCTGCTCATGCTCGCTCCACTGTCCGCATTCGACTTCCATTGCGTTCGTTTACTGTTCGCCGGATCTTGCAAGGAAGAGTACCTAATAGTACCGAGGGCTGTTTGTTCCGCGATCAGATGACAGACTTGTCCGGGTTGGAGCGGTATCGGGCCTAGAAGCACCTATGCCGACCGGAAGACCGGGTCGCAGCTGACGATGGTGTGCAGGATCTATGTGACAAGGATACACAGCTTCGGGCTTATATGGTTATCTGATAGATCTTGTCAGATCCGACATGCCAGGTGAACCGTTGTGTGTGACTGGGACAAAGAATGCCACTGCGAGTGGTCAGACCAAGGGTTTCTGTCGGACAAGATTGAAAGAAGACAGCAGTGGAACAATAGTTGCGAGCTGTAAGATGAACAGTGTGAAAGAGATATACTGGAGCTCCATGATATGAGGAGGATGTTATCGCAGAAACATGCTTAGCATGGGCTGGTGACATGGCTCAATGCATAGGCCACAGCCCTAACAGTAATTCTTTCTGCAACCTGCCATGTTACCTTACCATGTTGCTTGCTTTTTGGACGCGGCATGGGATTCGAGCGTCTCATCATGGTATCGATCTTTGCGTCGTCGTTGCGTATACTTCCGCCCATGTACCAGACGAGGTGTGGCCGATGGACGGCGGGGTGGGGTGTCCGTTCAGTGTCAAAGGCACCCGGGGGGCATGTGCAAAGCTAGCGCGTGGCATTTGCAGGTCACTCCAGGGACATGGGTAAGGAAGGCAGAACAGACCCAGAGTTTACATGTTTACAGCTGCTGGGGTTTCGGGTCTGGGGGTGTCTTTGTGGAAACATCAAATCCAAGGGACTGTCTCTTTTTGAGGGTCCTTGGAGAGGACTTCACGGCCCGGGTCCGGTGGAGGGCGCCTTTCCGCATGAGGAAAATGCTCTTCGAATCAGCGCGTCCTGTTTTACAGCGGAGCGATAGGCCTGGCGGCCAATTGTAAGACGCTGTCTACTCTATGCTGAGCACCCATGACGCGCGGAGAAGATCTGCGGATAACTTGGAGCTGAGTAGCCATCGTAATCAAATGGAACGAATTGTGAAGCTTGCATGTTCTCTCTTACCGAAACGAGCATATCAAGCTAACATTCTTCTTCGTAAAGGGACCGCTCCCGAACGGTTGGAAATGCTCAACTTGGAGAAAGCCTCGAGGTGTCTCAAGCGTTCGATGTGCCCATTGTGGAGACCATCTTTGCTTTTTCACGGCGGACAGCTGGTGCAGTTGCTCATATCATGTGACGCGCATGCAATGGGCTTGCAGGCTTGAGAGAAATCCATCCGCATTATTTCCATACACCGCCAGGAGAAACAGATGTGTGCGAAGTAAGTCACGCATGTGTGAAGGGAGACCTTGAGCCGGTCCTGTGGGAAGAACAACAGCGATTGCGTGTATCTCCATGTTTCTGCCAACCCCGCCCAGCCGTGCCTGTCGGGGCCGAAGGCGACGTGTTGCCAGACCATTCCACAATTAACGGACCGGGGAGTTCGTTTGGGCCGAAGGCGTCGGACGAAACCAAAGCGCAACAATAAGACGGCTGACACAGCATTGATTCCAAAGAGGCGCCCACGCGCTGTTCGGCAGAACGCGTTCTCAGGCGCCAGCAAGCCTCCCATTGTTTTGAACCAGCACAGCTATTTCTTGGAGTCTTAGATTGATAGACATTGTGAAACATGCTGAGAGCGGTGACGAAGAAGTAAGACAACTCTCGGCCGGCTGGCAAAGCATCTCCCAGTGCAGAGATAGCATCCTGCGACGCTGAAAATTCTTTTTTAGATAACATTACACGTGATAATGCCTTCAAGGATGGGGCTCATGAGTTCCATTTGATGCGCAAGCGCAAGGTTTGCGTCTAAGAAAGTCTTCTGTTGTAACAGTGACGATGCGTTGCGCTCGCGAGGTACTCGCGATGCGGACTGCACTGCACCACAGTGCCAAGCCCCCCTAAAAGCGGCAAATCAGCGAACAAAGATTCTTAAAGCTTTGGCCTTGGGCATTTTTAGAGTACTCTGCTGTGGATGATAGCTATTGATTCAGCTTTGGTCATTTCGGGCGCCTCGAGAAGCGTTAGCCAAGACCGAGGAGAGCTTGATGGTCAAAAAGACATCCTCCTTCATTCCTCATTTCGTATTGCGCGTATTGGTAACCATTCAAAGTTTTGGAGCTTTGTTTGGGGCTGAGCAACAGTGACATGGTGATGCTGTGTGCTGATGTCCCGCAAGGAAAAGGGGGCTACAACCCACACAAAGTATCTAATCGCAACCTGTCCCCATTGAATATTGAATCATGTCTGCTGTCTCTTTCACCGAGTTAAAGGCCGACCACGGCCATCATCGACAACTATTCACGCTTTACCGACGGTATTTCGCCCTGCTCTGGTGACTGGGTCGCCTTCGCCATGCCTTACGACCAAAGTTGATGGTGCCCTACGTACGCGTAGCAGACTTTCTGCTCCCACAGCCGAAATTACCTCGTCCAACCTCCCTTCACTCCTGTGGTCACAGATTGCCGCCGTCATAGTTGACCACTTCTTGTTTCTGCATCAAGGTGGTTGCTTCATCAGGCAAGATGCCGCGCCTCGATAGCAACCCCTCTTCGATGGTCCAGTAGTGCAGCATCCAGCAGAAGCGAAGCACACATCCATCTCGAACTTGCAGGTTCCTCAGTCCTTACCTATCGAGGCATCCCGTTACTTCGATCGACGAATCTCGACAAACTCCAAGCCATCGCGTACGCGTTATACATCCACTCGATGAATCCTCAGCGATAGACCGTCGACTTCCCGATCGTTACAACCGACTTCTTCCTGCCTTCGAATCGAACCATACGTTACTCGGCGCAAGATCCTGCATTCTGACGCGTTTCCGAATATGCCAACCATCCAACAGCAACTACGTGGCCAACGCAAGTTACCATTGGTTGCTTTGCACATGTCGAAAATGTGCAAGAAGGAGGCGCTTCATCCCCAACAGCGGTCTGGATTTCCCTTGCGGCTGCTACAGTCCAGTCGGCGTGGCAAATCTTCCCCCGAATGTCTTGTCAACAGAAATACCATGTCCATACACCGGATCACGCCTTGAATAACGGTCGGAATTCGTGCCAGCAATTTCTATCGCGCCGGCATGCGACATCAAGACCAGTTTTTTGATGGAATACCAGCTCCTTGCGGAATTAGCAAAGCCGCGGACGGTTCTGACTGCTCCCCAACGGCTCACTAGTTCCCACAGGGGCGGTAATACAAAGACACAAGTGTTCGCCACGGCCCGCGCGAGACATTGTCAGCGTGGTTTCAGAGGATGTTTGGAACGAAACTAATAACAGGTCCTTATGCAGTTGTTATTTTGTATTCGATCGAAGACCCCTCTGGCACAATTGGGCGACGGATGCCGAACAATACTAGTAACCACGAAAAGAGGGAAGAGTAAAACCGTCGCCAAGAGTTCAGCTTGCCCCGCAGCATCCAAGGCAAGAATTGATAATCCATGAACGAGAGTGACGATAAAAGTGTGTTGAGGCAATGTTGCGCTTTGGTCTTCTCGCCTACTCGATTCTTGCTTAAGTAGAGACAAGAATCATTGTGTTGTAAACTGTTCAAGATGGAGCCTGGCCTGACTCTCTTTTTGATTGGCTGTTCAGCATGTCAACACTGTCGCTTTCACTCGTAGAGAAGCTTGTGGCTTCAAAATGTTCTCAAGTTGTTGAAAATGCGACAACTTACGCCCGTATCGCTAGTGCTTCTACCTCATCTGTGGATTTACCTCTGATAAGTGCACTTAATTGGAAAGACTGGCGGAAAATTATTTCAGAGGAAGTGGAAGCATGACGGACGGTGGACGCGTAGAAGTCCCGAGACGCGATCGCTTTTCCAGTTCTCGAAGACTTAACAGGCCTGCAATTCAAATGTAGTACGAGTTCACATCTTTTCGATTCAACATGTACTTTCCATTGCCTCCCGCTCCATGAATGATACTAGACCGCATCCTCCTGGTAATTGAATTTCTTACTAGTACAAGGCCGACAGTGACGATTCCTGTCGCAATGACTACTGCCTGCAGCATCAGCAACCTGCTGCTCAGGCTGAGTGTATGGGCTCTCCTTGACATGCTGCATCAAATTTCTGCCCACCCCTCGTGACAGTCCGTAGGCGATGGGAGACGCTCCGGTGCTTTCCTTGCTACCTATTGGTGGGATGGCATCCGGACCAACTTGGAGGTCTCATAGGGCGAGAGTCTTCCATGAACTTGATTGGCGGTACAAAATGCAATTGATTAGTGAACTCGTCTCCTTTGGGATGTAGTCAGTCAGCATGCCTGGTGGCTTGCGTCTGAGACTCTTAGTGTCCGTACGTAATGAGGAGCGAGGTGAGAAGGCTCCCTGCATGCACGATGCATGTGAGCACCTTTGGCGGAATACCGCCAAAGCGGTTGCGAACAGGTACGAAGTCGGGATAGACCTACGCCATACTGGTCTTCCAGTACCTTTTTATCATGATAGTAGTATCTAATGTGGTAGTTGGTGATACTTTAAGCGTTACCATGATTTGAATACATTGGTGTCCCGGGATCTGAAGGCGGGTCACTTATCACTTATCAGATATCATTTATGGTAGAAACCGACCTCTGCTGATTTTGCTGCAGAGGCTGGGGAGAAAGACCCGAGCGGCCGACGCAGTTGCGGGCAAAGAGGGTGTCCCCCAGCTTGCTTCTTTTTCCACGGCCCGATGAATCTTGGCATGTACCAAACTCCGACAAAGTCGCAGGATGAGCGAACGAAACTCCGTACTCGACCATCAATTTATTCGCTCTAACGGCACTAGATTAGTAGCTACAAACGTCTTAGTTCAGCTTGGATTGTCAGTCTTGGCAGAAATTCTATTGAGAAACAATTAGATGAGATGATAGATCATTATCCGCACAGTACTTTGGGTCTGCACACAGGATCCATACCACCCCCCTTCGCACGAAGCTATCGCCAATGATTGTTCATCGGGGTC